ACAAGCTGAGAGGAGGAGCACATGGAGCAGAGGTGTTTCCAGCGCTGTACAAAATCTTCTCAGAATAGTTAGTGCAATGTCTAAATGTCTACACTACAGATACTGGTCGGTGTATCCACTTCTATCTAAAAAAATAGCAACAGCCTACTAAAACATCAAAGAAACTCATGCCACAAGACATTATCATAACAAACTAATATTTTTCAAACTTTGCAACAACTAGCTGTGTATGTTAAAAATGCATGTCCCGCACCGTAATGTTAAACCTCATATGTGGGGTTTAATTGAATGTAACTAAGTCAGGGCATTTGAACACAGGTGTCTTCTAGCAAAGGTAAATAAAAATGGACGGCTTTGCAGGCACAGATGGTCAGAGACTGGGTCTGTGCACTCTGTCACTTCTCATGTTTGAAAATTTGATCCTGAAATCCAGATTGTGGAGGCTGCAGTCAATATCACCACTCTGATGTTGTTTCTGATGCCACTGATGCAAAATTAGGGAAAAGCCAGAGTTACAAAGCTCTACTCCAGACCAAGTGTCATAGAAAGAATTCACTTTCTAGAGGATGCTCAGAGTTACCTGGAAAGCTGCTCTGAACAACTTTATTGCCAGACGTTTTGGTATGCCATTACTCCAGGGACCAACTTTCCGTGTGGTCTGGTGGAGCCCAGGGCTGCCCACGCCTTCCAGATGACCCCAGGCACACTTCCTCCGACACAAGACCTGAACAAATCACACCTGCAAATGGCACTGTAATCCCAGCCAGAATTAAAACTGAGCTTTCCCAAATGCAGCTTCCTAGTTCGGGCAGAAGAGTCGGGCAGCCCTTACAGCTTCTAGACCTGAGTGTGCTCAGGTCCAGCCCAGCTTCACCTGCTCCTCCCATGCCTTGCCCCTAGGGCAGCCAAATTACTCCCTGTCCATTCCACCCGGGTTTGTTAATATTTTCCACATAGTTGGTACTAGCAAGAAGACTGCCTGCATTGTAAGGCATCAGCTACAATGCCTTGGATCTTTATACAGCAGTAACTTGTTTGAAAGCCTTCATAAAATTGTAAGCAGATAGTTTAGACATTTTGCTGAGAAGAGAACGTTTTATTGTGATATGATTGACAGTCTCCATGAAGGGTATTTACAGTCTGACTCTTATTACTGAAAACACCATGACAGGTAGAACTTGATGTGGATGTATAATGGGGAGACGATGAGAAATTATGACAAAAAGAGCTCATTAAACATTTCACTTTTTTAGAACAGTTAATTTCACATACAGAACCACAGTTTCTAAGTGGAGTGCGTACCGCTTAACACAAGCTTTTTGGGGTAAGCTTGCTTTCTTTGTCTGGCTTGAAGTCTATTCTCAGTGCACGGAGAATGGGAGACTTGTTCTAAGGAAGGAGCAGACAAAATAGGAATGCATACAAGAAACATGAGTTGATACAAAGGAAGGGAGAGATACTGGGAGGATACTGGATATAATGAAAAGTGTGTGTTTGGAGCTGAGCTGCATGCCTGGCAGAGGAAATCTACAGGAGAGTCGGATTTGCTAGGAAGGGATGCAGCAAAGAGATGGAGAAATACAAGAATTATACTGAGTAAGCAATCTTTTCATCCCAATGTCAGAGAAGCGACTTGGCAACCAGCCACCACTCATAATTGAGTTCAATGGGTACGTGCAAATTCTGAGATCCGAGACTCATTCCTTTCCGCCTCATTTACACCGTATTTACATTACTTGATATCAGAGATCATGAGGAGTCACACTATAACGTACTTTGACACCTTCTGACAAATGGCCTCACACAATGGCACAGTACTGTGTAAGTACATTAGCTATCTTGATGCATATACAATGCTGAATACTTCTGCTTCATGGCACTACCAGGAATATGCTTCATACCTTCAGCCCCAATGGGATCCCGTACACACAAAGAAAGCAATATTTGCCCAAAAGGTCCTGGTTTCTTAAGAAGCTGTATCTTATCAAAAACCAGTATGAATTACACCTTCTGGTTCAAAGTAACCTTTGGAAAATGGATTCTGGCTTTTAGTTTTTACACTGTGGTAGATCTCACCCTACCTAAGCCTAACTATTTAGAAGTCATCATACCTTTAAAGTTCCTCTGCAGCCATGAAAGAATGATGTCCAGACGTACACTTATTTCCACCTGTGAGGGACACCTCACGCAGACAGGAGGAATTTCCCTGTGAAGCGGCTATTTCTCTCCACTGGCTACAGAGAGTCAAGGGTGGAGAGCACCTAGATGACTACTTCAGTATCCCTCACTTTTATGTGTGGAGACTAGAGATAAGTTGTCTGAGAACACATCAGAAGAAAACAATCCCAAGATGGAAAATCGATTTCTGTCCATGCAATGTGAGCAATTCTGTTTGAACCCAAGCAAAACTTGCTGCATTTTTATTAAGTGTTGTATTTATTGTTGGGAGAGAGAATTCATGGTGCCTGAAACCTATTAGGAGCTACAAAAAGTTTCTCACTTTATTCATCCATTATGAAATTAATGAAAGCAAGAGCTCCTAATAAAGAAAGTGTCCTTCTATGTTTAAACCAGGTAGATGAGCTAGATTATTTGCCCTCAGATTGAATTTTAGAGGTTTATATAATAATGACAGCTATAAATTGAAAAAAAAAATACGGCAAGTGTCTCAATGACAGAGAGTCTCAGATGTGGAAGGGTGAGCAATAAATCAGATGGGCAGTGGAATATTAAATTGCTAATTTTAAGAGCTATTGCTGCTTTTCTTTTTTTTTTTTTAATACATGCTAATAAAAAGGTGAAACAAAAATCTCAGCTACATATTTCTTCCTCTTCTCTTTCGTCTCTTTTTTTTCATAAATTAAAGTACATAACTTGTTTGGAGAAAAAGCTCTAATCACTTTAAATTTAACCATGAAATAGCAAAAAAAAAAAAAAAAAAAAAAAAAAGTCTGCAACCGGCTTCATGGCGATGACAGATTAAATATATTTGATGATTACAGAGTAGCTTCCATATGCCCTATATCTCACAGTCATGCTCTTTACCAGGACAGTCTAATACCAAAGTGTCTGCAGATATGATTGCAAGTGTACTGTACATCCAGTCATACTGCAATGACCTAAATTACAGACTATACCCAGAATAAATTTGAAACATCGCTGAAGGAATAATAAAAAAGTTGCAGGAAATGTACAGTGGAAAAATGGTAACACTGAACTATATGAGAAATGAGTGAAAAATCTACAGCTATTCTGTGCCCACAAATACCTTAATTAGTTACGCAACATGAGTTATTTACTAGATTTTCCCAGCCAACATGATGATGCCTCCTTCCTCCTAGTGGCTTATCATGAAATATTTATGACAAATTTTGTTTGTTTGTGCAAACCACGGAAGTGTCACAATTCAGGCCCCCATCCAGCCCCTCCCCAGCATTTATCTTTTTTACTTGGCATGTTGGTCTCTGTGATCAGCCCAAGCTGTGCAAGTTACCACATACTTATGTGAAAGGAGGCTCTCCTCCTCTCTCTTGAATACAGGCATTTTCCCCATGGTTACAGTAGACTGAAATTCCTGACCTTTTCTTTTGTTTTTCTCCATTCTCACAAAAATCCTCAGATATACTGATTTTCTGTGTAACCAACGCAATTGAACAATTTCTTGAGATATTTATAGCACAAATTTATATTAAACAGTATAACCTGCCCTTCAGCAAATACATGCCTTGTTGCTAAGGCATCTGTCACTACACTTCTTATCTCAACCACTTGTTACCATTCCTTATACATTCAGCAGATAAATGCTTCACCTCTTCAACATGCTAATACACAGAAAGGGAATGGTGCCATTTGGATGCAACCGCGTATTACCCCTATTTTTTAATAGTCTACTGTCCATGCAAGGCACAGGACAGAAAGAATTAAGTTGACAGTCTATATTGACCCTTAGCCTCTTGTATAGTTAGAGCACTCCAGAAATAATATGTAGCAATATTGGAAGGAAATCTCCCTGTGCTGATTACAGCCCACAATAACCAGGAAAGCAATACAATACATAGGGAAAAAATTCTGCCACTCGGGAACTTGTTGAATGAGGTCTTTTTGCGCACTTAATCTTGATGTAGTTCCTTTCAGAGTTTCCCAAAGCTGTTTAAACTAAGGGCAATTGCACGTATCTCTGCCCTACAACTCTACAGCTCTTACTAAGCAACCAGAAGTTGGTTTTATTGGAAAAATAATTGCTTTTCTATGGTGTATGTTAGGTATGGTTAGGCTGGATTTTGATGTAACTTGTTTGTTTGGGTTTTTTTTCCAAATGATAGAAAAGTAATTCTAATGTGAATTCCCATTTTTTTGGTAACATTAGATTTGAAGCTCCTTATGAAATCTTTACCTATCAGCACACTGTATTCACCAGGAAGCCTTCTGAAGAGGTGTAGACATTATAGCCGCAAAAAATCACTGTAGAGGTCACAATGTTCTGACATACCTTCTCCTAACACTACTTCTCTCGAACTCCACTCTGTTCAGACCTTGCCCCCCCTGCTGTCCTACTAAACCAGGCTGTAAGGAGCACAATATATAAAGTACAGCTCTGAGACAGCACACAGGGGAGAAAATGCAGCCCGTGCTCACTCACAGTGATAAACCTTGTACAGCATTGGATAATAGAGGAACCCTTGTAATCCAGACAGCAACGATTCATGCATTAACATGCACAAGGCTCACTGTCGACTCTTAACCACAGATAACACATTTGTAAATGGTGACTTTCGTAAGAATGAGTCAGAAAAGACAGAAAGGAGATTTAAGTAATGAATGAGATGGATATAAGTGACATTACAATCCTGGTTACTCTGAACCAACCCAATCAACCCACAACAGATCACTGATAAAATTTCCATCATGAGGAATGTACCAAGTGTTACATACAATAATGAAAGTCACAGAAGCTGAGAAACACATCTTCTTTACTGCATATAAATAGGGAAGATACTTACACTTACAGGTTGACTTTTTGGCACATCATAAACACCTTCCTTCTTTTGGCTGGTAGGAACCTGCAATAGCAAATGAAAAGTAAGGTCATTACCCAAGCAAGTTTGATGAAAAATTGAAATCCACAACTGATGTTTAAGTACAGTGTAGTCATTTAATACTAATGAAAACAAGGGTGGCTCTCTTTTCATTCAAGCAGTAACATTAATGGAGACAATACTGAAGAAATAAAACACCTATCTGATTTTTTAAAATCCTAAAGCCCAGTAGTGTTCAGAAATGAGATTTTCATTCTCAGTTAGGTTCGGTTGCATTAAGTTCAGGTGCACTTGGATTTCCTTCCTAGTTAACTGTTTTTTTTAATTTTACTTGGGAGTTAGAAGATGCACATGGAAGTCACTATCAGGTCAGTATGTCATCTTCCTCCATGGCAGAGATCCAGGGTAGAGCTACCAATCTGTTTGGCCTATGTTGTTAGATTTCTTCCTTCCAATTCATTTAATAATCTAAGTCAAGTCAAGTCATAATATGTACCCCTGCAGATGCGGCTGCTTGAAGCAATGTTTAGTTACAATTCTGCAATTTTACTAAGGAATTACTGGCCTGTCAGAGTCTGAGACTGCACAACCACTCACACAGCCAGGGAGCTGAAGTCAACAGCCTTGCATGGACAGGGGATGATGCACTTCAAAAAACTTTGGGCGAGCCTTTAGTTGAGTCAACAGTCATGATTTACACCTTGGGCATTTTTAGCCTTCTTATGTAAATTCCGTTGCTTTGTAATACTGGGCTTTGCCTGCCTAAGGACTGTTGGTTTACATATTTATAATTTGTGATTATGTTTCTTTTCCTTCCTAGAAGCACTGAATGTCTATCGTAAATGACACAAGCAAAAACAACAGTAAAAACATGCTCTAAACACACATGAATCTCTAAGTAAATCAGTGCGACTCTTCCAATGAACATAAGAAGGTTACATTTCAGACATTACTGAAACCTCACAGGTTAACAGGAGAAATAATACTGCCAACATAACAAAAATGATTATGTTTTTGTTTTCTAAGACAATAAATATCTTAGAGTTCTGATATTAGAGTAGGTCTGGTTTAGGGGAAGCTGAAGGAATGTTACTTATTCATTGAGATGTGCTATCATTTCTTATTCTGTATAGTATATCAAAAACTCTCTCTACTGTTCAAACATTCTCTTGCCCATGTTTAAATGTCGAAGTCTTCATGGGAAATGGTGCATCTTTAACTTGGTGCACATTGCAGAAGTTTTTCAAGAGCATGAGTGCAGAACCCTTACAGAAACGGAACAAGCTTTTTAAAAGATCTCTTCTATTCCTATCCTTGGAATTACTTGCTTGCCTTGGTTTTCTCAAAGTACTGTCTTCCACTAAAACCACCTATGACATTAGGTGATGCGAAACTGGTAAGAGTGGAACAATTCAATTTCATGGAAATAAAGTGATCTCTTTTTACAGACTGTTAAGTGACAGTGCAAGAGCATAAACCAAGAATGGTGTATTTAGTAAGTCACTGGAAAGTTTAGTCTTCACAAAAAGAGGACAGACATGGTAAGATAAACTATCAGCAGCACATATTTTTCTTTTCTCTCTGGAAAGTTTTCCCATCAGTCAACTTCTCCATGAAGTCATCCCAGTTTGTACACTTCTATCCACAGCTTATTTTGGAATGCGTGTTTCCCTGCACTATCGATCCCCCCCTCTCACTCCAGCTTACAACTACATTAGAGAAAAGCTTCTGACTTCTAATACCAAAACAGAGAAACTTTTCTGAAAGACTTTCTTCTCTCCCAACTCAATACCACCTGTCTTCCTGTTGTCTTTATTTGCCAGGTATCATCACGCTTTTTTTGCATCGCTACGTAGACTGTGGGTCTGCAAGGGATTTCTCCTGTTTGTAATTTGATTAGCAATATCGGCAAACGGTTACCAGTACTATTGCTGCTGACAGCTCTGGCTCTGTGACAGACTGTGAACCATTTTGACATACTTCATCTTACCAGCAATACAAGCACCGCAACTCAGAAACTCCCATCTCAGATTGTCAACTCCTGATGGAGCAGAACTTGCCTCTCCATAGAGACCAATGCTGCTACACACACAATACAAAAACACCTAACAAAATCCCATCCCCACTTCATACCATAAAACAACAGACAGGCAAAGAGATGCTATTAAGAAATCTGACACTAGGTGAGAGGACTGGTACATGTCAGTAATCAAATCCTTGCATACCTACACATTAGAGCAACTTATACAGGCAGACAATATTAAAAGAGCAGACACAGACAGTCTTTGGGGTAATGTATCAGAGAAAGAATGCTGAAAAAGGAAATTGTCACCTTTACTATGTTAAAAAGAAATAGTCACTTTTGGCACCTATCAAGGATGCATGAGGTTACTGAGCAGACGCATTTTTACCAAAGTGTAGTATGGGAAAGGCTTTGTAGTAAACAGTAGAGCTGGCAACAATTTGCATCAAACTAAAAAAATTAACAAGCAAACAAAAACCAAAGGAGGACCTTTTCTAATTTCATTTTTAATGGGCGGGTCAGAGTTCATCAAAATCTTGTAAAAGAAACAATTTTGCCAGTGTAAGATCTCAGCTGTGGGAACCCAGATTTATAGCAAGCCAAGAGCTCACGAAATCCATGGAAACTCAAGCTCGTGGCTCTGGGCAAGTCTACAGTAGCGATACTTTAGCATCTGTTAATTACAATAGATAACAGAAAAAGACTTGTAGCTCCCTAACCTCAGTATGTGCTGTTTTCAAGGTATTGCCTGTAGTAAATACAGAGAAGGACAACGCTAGACTGCATATGCTGAGAGTATGGCATATTATGTATCACAGATATTTTCTGTGCATCACTGTGGGAGAAAAAACTTCATCACATCCAGACATTGTGATACAAAGCCTTGAGCAATTCCCTGGTGACTTACAGGACATTAACAGCAGTACCTCAAGATAAGGCAAGACCTCACTATATGCTTATCATCTTCTGTTTCCATTTTAAGAAAAAGAAAACATCCAGAGAGCCCTCCTGTTTTTTAGGCCATTCCTCAGAACACAGTTCCTACTTCCCTACTCACCAGAGTTTGCTCTAAGATCTCAAAACACTGGGAGTGATGACCCCATTTTGCTTGCTTCCACCAGTACTTCTCTAAAACATCACTAAAAGCTCTACACTTCAATGAACAACAATCAGAATTTTTTTTGTCTGAATGAAGTTGTAATGGGATTTTTGTTTCTAGCATAAAACCGACAATTATAGTAATAATTTTTTAACAGATTGCTTTCTTGGAAATTAGACAAACTTTCAACACTATGCGGTAGAAAATTTTCCACCTTAGGCATACTCTCACCTTGAGAGTTTTGCATGTCTTGGTCTAGAGATGCAGAAAGATGCATATATTAGTGTGCATGGTGAGGTGCCAGGCAATCAACAGAGACAGGTTAAATGAATCTCATCTTAATGACCCTGTGATGGGGTCTATAAGATGGTTATTTTCTAATGTTTAACTTGCATTTCTCTTTCCCACTTAGCTCCTTTCTATTTTGGCTTACAGCCACTCTACCCCTTCATTTTTTCTATTATCTTCCTACCTTTTCTGTTACTTAAAAAAATACCTTTCCTTTTTTTTTTTTTTTTTGTTCTATCCCTGCTGCTGTCTACCTTAAAAAAGCTTTTCCTATTAGGAAATCAACCTCTAGCACAGCTAGATGAAATGCTTAATCACTGCTTGAATCTCCTTCCCCTCCATACTAAATGATTTCTTCAAATGACAATTTTCTTACAGCATACAGAGATTTCTGTCTATCTCCAGATTTGCCTCTAGTATGTGACACAAAATGAATTACATTATATTTTAATAAACCCTGTACTGATCCCTTGAGGATAAATTGAATGACAAAAGATTATTTTACATTGCTTTCAATGCAATTTTTTGTCAGTGTGAAGAATGCATGCTAGGGCTCTAACATAACATAGGCACTCTGAAAATATTTTCCCCAGTCTGTGGGATATCCATTGAGAGCTCTTAGGTTTTGCTCAGTGACCTCCTTGGCTAGCCAGAAAGAAGAGCAGTACCATCAAAATATCGTTCTAAGAATTGCTTGGATGGTCTGCCCTCCATCAGATTTCAGTATCTGTTTCTTAGAATAGGTGTAAAAGGTTTCAAAACATTAACAGAAAAAGAGAATCCACTATGTATCACCTTATATGGTGTACTCAAAAGTTTAAGACCCTTCATAAGTTGAACAAAGTTAATAAAGTTTGCAGAAGTTGAAATTACAAACAACAGAAAAATCACACTGAGACCAGCAGATTATTCATGTCATGTCACCAGAACGAAACGCCAGACATTTTTGTGATGAATGAAAGCTAATAAAAGTGAACCATATACGAAATGTACTTTACTATATGCTTCCAATCGTTGCAATGAAAACACCGAAGTTAGCGATTTTATACCTGATAAATGTTTTCTTCCGTTTCAGGCTCACGGATTGGCTCGTGTCCAGCCTCAAACACAATGTACTATTACACCAGCCGCCAGAGAGGAAAAGTCAAAGATGAAACAGAAGGAAAAAAGGCGATTTGGAATTCCACTTAAAAACATAGGCAGGCATTAAAGAAACAAGTACAAAGTACAGGCTGGCAGCAGGACAACTGGTTTGTAGGAAAGCGCAGGGTAGGGTTGTTTCATATTTCATAAACCGGCAATGAATAGACCTAAATCTCCTCTAATGATCATTAGAGCAACTTCCTAATTCTTTCTCACTAGGGAGACAGCCTGTGGCCCAATATTAATTTTCCGAAGTCAATGTGAATTTTGCCTCTTTTACATAATGGCAATTATTTCCATATCTATTTATTATCTATGATTAAAAAAGCTAAATCCAAACTGGAAGAATAGGCCGGTGCTCATGTAACGGGCCACATGGCAAAAGGCTGTCACAACACACTTAATTTTCAGGTTCTTGCTTTATTGCAAAGAGCACAAAGTAAAACTCCTGACATTATAAAAGCTGAATAGTAATTTTGGGCATCCTAATTCTTATCATCTTTCTTGCTGCACCTTAGGCACTGTTCAATAGTCACCAATGGCTGAATCAGTTTCTTTCAGTGTGCCTCCCACTGACATGCCTAAGTGGAAGAACACAAAATCTCCAGGAAAAAAGTAGTAAACTATCATATATTTTGTTTCAGCGCAAAAACATGAGAATGAAATTACATCTTTTTCTTCGTCACACTCAGGAGGATACTGGACATGAATATATTGACATATTTCTAATAATCACCTTTGCTCCCAGACATTTTGATTAGATAAAACAAGACTTAAATTTCAGATCTCTTATTAAATCATAGCCCAAATGCCAACAAGGGAGTGTGTTATAAAATCAATTCCTCCCCTTTTTTTTTTTTTTTTTTTTTAAATATTCACCCTCTGAATTAAATTCTGGCTCCATAGAAGCCAAAACCGAAATGCCAATTTATTACTGTCAGAACAAGATGTCACCTTCCTTATTCTCAAAGTAACTCCCTTTTCAGTTAGAGTTTGTATTAAAAAATTATGACAAATCTCATTTGGAAACTTAAAATCTGGACTCACATCCCACATTTTAGGAAATATTTACAAAATACTTCTATTTCTATATTTATATACTCTAACTGAAATATTCTATTCTATTTGATACAGACATATTGTGCTACTACTTACAGCTTAATCTCTAAATAAGCTACTTCTGTAAAAATTTTACAAGTTTCTTAGAAATCTCCACGAATTTCAAAACATCTTCTTAAAGGTTTTGGCTGTATTTGAAGATAACATATATCTAGTCATTTCTGAAACTCCAAGGCCATACAGCTTCAGAAATTACCTGGTATACAGGATCTTCTACATCTTCTTCCAAAATTGTCTACAGCAAAGTAAGAGGACAGGCAGTAAAAGCAAAGAACATAAACAGTAGAGATAAAGGAACTATTTTCAGAAATTAAAGGACAGCAAAGAAATAAGCAAAATGGGCAGGTAAGTATATAGTTTTCTTTTTTTAATATACAGATAAAGTCACATTGTTGTTCAAAGTAACTTTATTCAAGTTTCATCTGAGTTTAGCAATCTGCACCTTATTTGATTTGATTCAAATACACACATTGAGAAGTATATTGAATCTTCCCTAAAGTGTTAGACGCTATTAAAAACCTGACTTACAACACACTGACCTTCACTGAAGTTTTCCTTCTGAATTAGAAGAAACACTACGTGGGAAATGAACAGATCATTTCCAGTTGGTAAACATGTTCATCATACCCCAAGTGACAGCTTTCATCACTGTTTAATCCTACTTCTGAGCGCATGATGGCTGTTAGGTTCATATTTGTCCATTTGAAGCTAGCACCATTCAAACCCATTGATGTTAAGAAATGCTGAGGATGCTCAGTTCCTCTTTGGAGCAACTTTGAGGGATACTCAAACCATACTTTTCTTGGCAGTAGCCTAAGCTTATGCGTGTACCTGGTATACCGCTTGTTCACACTGTTTATCCTTTTGTGCCTTTTTTTCCATTTCTTCCCTTTGTTTCAGTTCATAGATGAGCTGAAACAGGTCTCGCAAGTCCAGAATTACAGGTTCAGCCTATGGAAGCAAAAACAGCAAGGAGGGTTTCTACTTGGGAAAATATATTCCTCCTATCCCATCCCGCTGATAGAGCAGTTAGAGCATCTCCACAATTGGAGAGAACATACAGAATTAACTTCTACCTTAGCATCCAGGCTTGGGTTAATTTCTATCAAACTAACTGTATTTGCAAATTAATGATAATTATAATTATGAATATAAAAGGCATTATGAATATAAACGGCATATATATGAATATAAAAGCATGTTTATTAGTGGTTTCTCACACAATGAAATTACGGTAAACTATATGCAAAGTAGCTATTTGGTAACTATTACTTTCTATTTAGATGAGTATAGGAATATAACTAAATGTATCTGTATCCAGGCTAGTTTAGTTAGAAAGGAAAAAAGTAACTAATTCTAAAAAAATACATCATAAAAAATCAGAAATAGTGAAATACATTCCCTTTTTCCCAAGCTGGTTTCATTAATTTGCTATTTAAGAACGTCTAAGCAGACACTTGTGACAAGCCTAGCACAATCGTAAACAATACAAGATTGGCCTCTTGAATAGCTTCTTATGAACATGACTTTTCTACTGAGTTACACTATAGAAAATGACAGTGATCTGATACTTACTGCCTGGGCTGTTTTTATTGCCACAAATCTGTGATTTCCCTCCTTTCCACATACATATCCAAATGCTCGATGGTCTGTGATATCCTTTGCGATGTATGAAATTTCATGAACTGCATGGTGGTGCTGTAGTAGCTATTGAAAAAAACACAGTAAGAAATATCCATCAGAATGTTTTATTAAAAAGCTGTATAATTTCTCTTTTATCAGTGCTTTACCTGGATCTCAATACACCTATGGAATTAAAACAAACAAACATAACCTGGTATCAAAATCAATGAACATCTGAGCTCTTTAAGCCTATTCTCTTTTCAAGATCTAGTCAAACTTGACTTGCTTTAATAAATTGACTAAAAGCCTCAACCGGGTATTTTTCTTGGTATCTTTTGGTGAGATATAAATGAACAAAAAATACCATGTTACCTAGTTACTACCGACACAGCATCCTAGGTACGGAATCAGTGTTGGTAGGTATATATAAGAAGCAGCAGCAGCTGGCTGTAGCTTCATACAGGGTGACTCTGAGGACAGACTGATCTGCAGGGGCTGCAGAGCTAGAGCTGAGATAGCCAATCTCTCTAAGAATCGGCACCAGACTTGCTTTATCTCTGCAACACTCGGCGTCAGCCAGCAAGCAGTATTTCATTAAAAGCATAGCAGAACTCTGAAAATTTATTTTTCCCAGAAAATTCATGGAAATGCAATTATCTAACTTGAAATTGATACTAAATGCAGAAGTTCACATTTTATTTAAAATCCCACTTTGGTTAATTGTAATAATAGAAAGACTCAACTTTGGTTTAGATGTGTGAGTAAAACTCTCCCCAGAGCCAGGACATGAATCTGAGACTCCTATAAGCATGTCTTGGAGTGCCAGCACGTTTCTTGCTTTGGCCTAAGTAGTATGTCATTACCAAAATAATATTTATGTATTTCTACTTAAAATAATGTCCTTGAAAATTTTATCTAAAACAATCTATTAGTTCAAATTTCTACCTTCTGATATATTGACCTGCTCTTCTATCATCTAGGGATAATGCTATTTCTGAGAGCAGGCAAAGCCTCACAAAGAACTCTTTTGAGGTCCATGTTCCTGCTGGTTTTGAGAAAAGCACATTTTGAAAATCAGCATGGTATCCAGGCAATCTCTAAACAACCAGTTATTTTTAGAGTTTAAAAAAAAAAACATTTTAAAATTCAAAACTGGAGAGGATGTGTGTGTGTAAAAGCAAAAAGGCTGAGCGCACGCAGGGCAAGTGACAAGCGATGAGACTTCTGTAGAACATGAATTGAAATTTAAAAGGAGAGGCAGCACGCAAGAGACAGATGACTACATATAAAACAAAAGACTGGACATTTTGCATTTTCATTTCGCAGTAAATGACTCCTAACTTGCCAAGATCAAGATTGCTTGCTCGTAGGAAAATGGAAGTGTTGCCATTGACTTTAGGCTGAACGCAGCTAAGCTGAAGGTGTGCTTCAGACTCTCCCAACCTGTTAAGCATTTAAAATTAATGACGGGATCTTACTTAGATAATACAGGGATATTGATTTATTAGTTTTTTCTGAAAACCAAGGTGCATGCTATCTGTTACAATGAAATGAAATGTTCCCATCTCTCTATTCTGCATATGACAGGGAACATTATCTCTGGCTTCTATTAAATCAAAGTTCTTTGACATTGCTTTATTGATTGCGAGACAGCGTTTTGCACTGAAATTAAACTGTGATCAGGTTCCTTCCTCGTGGAATTAAATTTGAAGATCATTCTACCATGGAAAAGTATCACCCACAACGTAAGACAGCAGATGGAGACACTCCAATTTATTTGGGAACCCTCATTAACCGTTTGAAAATCATTACATTTTTAATGGTTATGATACTTTACATACTGTATCAATAGATGTCCAAATTAAGTAAAGGTGACTGCAACATTATCCTTTCACATATTTTACTGTATGGAGCATTTAGCAAGAGTTTTTCATTTGTTTGAGGGATACTGAGTTGGAACATACACATGAAATGCAATGTTGCATACACACATCTGTACTAAAACGTAGATATAAACACTCCTTCAAACCTGTGCTTTCACAGCCCTCGATTCATCTAATGTGTCCTTTCTACATATTCCAATACTTCATTCCAAACATTATTTAACAAGTGCCTGATTCTTTGCTCACCGTAAAGCAGCAATGAGACTCCTGTTGCAGTCAGTAGAGATTTACCATCATAAAATGCAAGATCAGAATGGCATCCTTTTTCTAAATCTTTGTTTTAAGGATGCAGCCTGCCTAGTACCCTGCAGAGCCCTTCACAGGAGCAAGACGTGCACTACAGTAAAGGACAACAGAAGGGACAGGATGAGGAGAAACATCATCTCCTCCAGCCACCCAACAAAGACTTACAACTGACGCTATCTATAAACACATGCTCTTTGCATGTTTTGATTAGATTTGTGTCTGACGCATTCACATAGCTTAATCTGTCCCGTAAAATGAGACCAACCAATAGGAATGCCATCTTCATCCCTCAGTTTGTAACTGCTCACATGTAGCCACCCTCTTGATGCTCGATATGAACAGTCCTGAAAGGAAATGAAACAAAAGCCACACAAAACTGCTTACAGCAGAACTACTGGTGAGTGCTCAACAAGCTGATATACTCCTTTCTCCACAGCATCTTCTTTTTTTTTTAATATCTTCAAGGTTTTACCATGACTTAATCCTGTCTCTAGTGGGTCAGAAGCACATAAAAGAATTATTTCATAACTCAGGGATGTTTATGGCACCCCCGTACGCCCATGCTGATGGATTCCACCACACGCTATTTGATGTTTTTACCGTATCTTTGCTGAGCGCTGCTACAAGCCATTTACCTGTTCATAAGTGAGGCATCAAATTGTTTTGGAGGGCTGCAGTATGACAGAACAAATTATAGAGAAGACTTAATTTGTATTATGGTTCAATCCAGTCAATTAAATATTGCACAGATAAGAAAGTAATTTAACATTTAAGCTTCAGTTCTTAAAAAAATCCATGTACATAGCCTCCAAATTATTCTAGGTCTCCTGTGACTTTTAGTCACTGTTGTAAACGTCGAGGATTTTAAATGGAAACACAGATAAAACCTCAAACTGGGTAACTAAGACAATCTCGTGATGCACGAGTCCTTCTTTTTAGGCTAAACATGATGTCATTATAATATTTTATTCATACACTAGAAAGTTTTTTCCTGGTGTTAAACTTAAAGAAGTCCAAAATACCCACCTCCACCAAGACTGCTGTCTTCCCTCTTCCCCTTAAGTTTACTCCAGTCTTTCCCACTAGCCACTGTTTTCTGTCTTTTTCTCCATTCTGTACCCTGCTTCTCCTCTTCCCCCAGGTTGCTCCCTGTACATCACATTGAATTGATTTAGCTGCCTCTGAGATCTGTAGCATTTCTAATTTCCCTCAGGCTGCTTGGCACCTATCATAAATTTTTTCACCCCTTATCCTCATCTTGCCCCTTTATTTCCATGCTGTAGCCTCCAGTGCCACTAAATCAATTAAGTCAATCAATTAAGTACTTGGAGGGTCCAGCAATCATGTCAAATATGTGAGTTAGATGGCATGAGAAAGTCACTGCTTTACTATCGCTATTTCTCTTTTAATGAGGTTGTCTATTTAGTGGAGCCTGGGGCACAGTGTTAAGAGCCACAACAAAAGATGTCCTGCAAGCTGCAAAGCCTCCTATAAAAGCTGTCCCACTGAAAGCAGGAAGGATGTACCACACAATATTGTATCTATACAGACAAGTTTCACAGGGTTTTAAGTTACACAGCCTTTCACCTTGAATAACTAAATGGTGAGCCCATTTTCAGATAGGCAGTATCAACCAACAGCTCCGCTGTTGTAATTTCCACGTCATCGATACTGGGATGTGGGTGACAGAAGTGGCCCAAGCGTCCTCTGAATTTCTACTCTGGTCTATTCACTTCTACCACATCTGAATAAGCAATAATACATTTTGCATGTCACTTAAAGCTCCTCAAACATCAAAGTTACCCACCAAACTGCAAAATCCTTAATGGATTCATAATAGAATAACTTTATTAACTATAGTTTCAGTCATACTGCTGTCTACATGCAAGTTCCCCATACTCCAACTCATATTGTGATTGCTCAGCAGCACGCTAGGATATCAGCCCTATCTGTTTAGGAAGAATAGTGAACAAATTGTAGAAACTGAACTGAACGTGGAAAATTATGGCAATGCCTTAACGACAAGCTTAGCAAGCCAGAAGTGTAAGAGTACTTTGACCGTTATTTACTGCAACATATTAAGTGAAAACAATGAATTGTAAAACAGGTGAGTTCTTCTGAGACGAATTTTATCTTATTGCTGCAAGAAACACCGGAGTGCTACAGACATGTGGCCAGCTCCTCCACTACACCTGGGAGGCTGCTGTGTTCCTTAACAGTGCTCAAGCCATGCATACTACGGCATTTTGTCAAATGTTCTTCATGGCCATTTCCTTACAATTCCTGTTTGTTTTAGCTGAGATTTGCAGGGATCATGGGGACAACAACTGGTCACAAGCATTTCTCTAATTGCCTATGTTTGTTCTGCAATGCTTCTCTGCTGTTTCGTTAAAATGCACTTAGTAGAGGTGGTCTGGAGCTGCTCATCTCCGTTGTAAACACCTCACATTTCAAATAACACGCTTAAGGAGCAGACATGAAACACTTAAATTCTCTACAGCTGCAGATTCAAATCCCAGACCTGTTTTGTAACTTCCAGGCATGGACAGAGGGCAGTCCCCTGTATGTAGACAACAACAACAGAAAAAGAAAAAGAAACAGAAACACACAGACATCTGGAACAAACATCTCATCAGACCTTGCTGGCATGGTTTTTTCCTCTGGTACCCATTAATGGCGCATGGATACCCGTTAAGCAGTTGTGAATCTTTCAACTTCCTTTCACCCTAGAGACAGTCCCATTTCAATGGGATTGTGTACAGACAGTTTGGGGAAAATGTCACCAATCTCAAATGTCAATGGAAAATAAATAAGTAAGTCACAGTTGTACCACAAACTTGTCCATGTTGTTTTCTGGAACTTGGCATTTGGGTGGCAGATGGGGTGGCGAGGCAT